CATTTCTATTTGGATGATTGCGCTCTAAATAACGACATAATTTTGTTGTATTTGAATCATCAATATTGCGGAGCCACATTTTATGTCCACTAATATTTTTGAAAAAAAAAATAATACTCAACCTATAATATACCAAATTATACTCTATTTAAAAAAGATATGAGTAGTTCAGATACAGTATCTAGCTTCTCAATGTGTTTTTTGAATTTTATATTCTGGTGGAAGAAGTTTCTCAAAAGCTCTTTGGCAAAAAGTTCCCTTCGTAATTATAGTCGATTTCCAAGAGAAGCTGTATTATCAGAATTAATAAGGTCGATAGTTTCACTCATTTTAAAAGTTTCGCATGATCATTCGGGTCACCCGGCTCAAAGATAAAATGATAGTCCCGTTACGGTGATTTACTATGTTCCGTAACGTAATTTTTATCGTCGATCACTATTCTTTATTATAATCGTAAATCATCTATTTTTTAATATTTCACGATTAATATAAATATTTGTATTATAATATATATATTCGTTTATTTACAATTTATTAGAATATTTTTTAAAAAAAAATAATCAAAAAAATAAAAATAAATTTGGTTGTCTAATTATTTTTCATAAAATTACTTTAATAGTTTTGGAAAGTCATGTATTATTAAGCTGCGCATTTAACTTTATAAATATTTCGTAAATTGTTGATCAAAATATCTACAGTAATATAAAGTTTTTCCATACATGACATGTATGGATATAATTACACAGTCGTATATTCTTATTATACTTTCGCTGTGAAGTAATATGACATGAAAAGAGTTTATTTAAAAAGCTATTAATTGTATAATTTAAAATTATTATAATACTGTATTAATTTACTATTATTGTTATTATTTTAATATTAAATGTAAAGAAAAATTACCAAATGTATTTCCATTAAAAATATTTTAAAAGTCAAGAATCAGAATTTTTTTGGATAGAACCATTTTGCAATTCTAAAAATATTGATGGATGTCTTATAATATTATTAAAATCATTTATTTCATTCACAAGTTGTACTGACTAATTATACAGATTATTACTATAATTATACTATTTTAATATTAAAATCAGAATTCATTAATGCATCATTTTGAATTATTTTTATTAATTGATCATAAGAAATTGTTAGTTGATTGTATTTTCCACAATAGTTTCTGAAATTTTACTGTTGGTATTCTTCAAATTTTATAATTCTTCATTAAATATTTATTATCTTCTTTAAATCTTTGTAAACTAAACATTTGAAGAAAAATTAGTAATTATTATTAAATTACAAGAAATTTACAAGAAATTATTTTAAACATACTTTGTAATACATACTTAAATGTACTATGTTACTATTATTAAAGCTTGATGCTTGATTTGATACATTTGATTGCTTGATTTAGTAGTTATTTCTTAAAATGCTAATATAAAATAAAATATTAATAAAATTTTAATAATATAAAATGAAAAATGTTTGAAAAATATTACTTACTTGATTGGGATTTATTATTATTTTCACCAGCTAATTTTTAGCTAAATTTTTCATCATTTGCAATTGTTCTTTTTCACCTATTGATAGGTATGGATGTAAAATTTCATCAGTTTTTTGTCATTACTGTTTTCGAATATTAAAAGTAGATTCTTCAAGTTTCTCTAAAACCTGCCTGTACCATTGTTTTTTATCAGTATGTGGAATAATTTTTCAGTTATTAATATTTAAGGCTTACATTCTTGCAAATAGTTCTCATAAATAATTTAAGCCAATATTGGCTAATATGAAATTTCTTAAATCATACGCCAGATGAAAATGCTTAAATTATTAAGTTAGTTATATTTTTTAGCTAACCGTTAAATCATCTGATAAAAATTAAAATGATCTTCACTTCTTTTTCATCTATTTCTTGCAAATAGAATTCAGGATTAGCATTTTTTAAACATAAAGAAATATATCTGTTATAATATTCAATTAAAATGTTGAACATAATTAATATTCATCTAAAATGCAACGATCCTTCTATAATTGAAATTCAATAAGTTTGTAAATCCGATCATCAAAATTTGTGGTACAACGACAATTATAGAGAATTTCAATTAGATTTAACAAAATTCAAATCATTTTATTTAGCTCGAGACTTAACAATTTAGGTAACGATAATATCTTATTTAACCCTTAATACTAATCAAATAAATACTTTTTTAAACCATTTATAGTATTTGTTTAAATTTGACATATGATAATAAATTGGATTCGATAAATCTATTTGAATTGTCTACGTAAGTTGTGGAATTTTGTGCGACAATACAATTACTTAAAATACGAAATATGTTTATAAGTAAATCAAACTTACATTTAAGAAAATAAAATTCAAATTTTTTTTTCTATTTTGAATGGAGCATCGCTATACAAAAACGTATTCTTACCATGGTGGGATACTTTTGATAAATGTTTAATTTGCAAACTGGACTTGAGGAACGATGTTCAGATCGTTATATAATATATGTTGGATGTAATCATTTAACAAAGAACATCATCTTAGGACTTGCTGATAATCAAAATATATGTGGGAACTTATGACAGATTGTAAGCTTTGCTAATTTTGAAAATAATTTTCATCTTTTATTAACATTATTAATGGAAATACTCCTATAAGTTTTGAAAAGTTCTATATCTATTATTCATTAACATTTAGATGTTGGGTTTATAAATAGAACAAGATCAATCTGAACAAAATTGCTTGTCCTAGGTTCTATACAAGTAGGAAGCATTAAGTTCTTTGATTTATCAGGTATATTATCAATGGAATAAAATTCCATTAGTGCCCCTTTTTTAGATTCATGTAAGCATAAGGAAGGATCATCAATATTTGTGATACAATGGTTTACAAGATTTAAAGATGAACAATTCAAATATTATTTTAAAAGGTTTGATTTTACAAAAATCCAAACCAAACCATTTTTATTTAACTCGAGACTTAACTATTTAACCCTTAATACCATAGAGTTATGAAGAAAAAGTTTCTAAAACTTTTCAACCATTATAGTGTAAATTTAATTAGTTTCATTTTGATTGAATCGGATTCGATTGTAATGTAATTTTTATAGCCGATCACACATTATTTATATTGGATTGACTCAAATTTTTGATGTGCATATCGATTTGTACGACAATACCAAATTTACTTAAACATGCATGAATAAAATTTTTTCTAAAAACTTTTTTAAAATGTTTGCAAGACTAAAAGTTATTCAAAGAATTAATTTGATCTTTCTAATCAGAGAAGCAGTAATTGCATTTTCTGTGGAAACAAATATATTAAGATCAGCTATTATTATTGCAGATCATGTTCTTTTGCGGTACAATTTCACAAACTCTAAGAGACGCAAAATGGTTAGAAGTAAAATGAGGAAAATAGGGTAAGAATACTAGATTTAGTTTGTTTCAAACTTATTATTTAAATATATAAAATTCAAATTTTTTTTGCCTATAAATATACTCAGCGCAAAAATTTATAAAACTTGTTTCTCGTTTGAATGGATAGTATCGCTATATAAAATACTATATAAAATACTTATTCCAGTTCTTTACTTACCATGTTGGGGTACTTTTGATAAATGTTTAGTCTGCAAATTGCACTTGAAATCATTATCTGACTGTCAGAAATGGTGTTCTGATTGTTATATAATGTATGCTGGATGTATATATTGTTTATCAATAAATATTATCTTTGGACTTACGGATAAATCAAAATGCAGACAATGCGAGAGAATATCATCGGTTAATGTAAAAGACAATGGAAATTATGATATTGATGAGTTTTTACATAGCATCAAATTTAATAACTTTAAAAATAATGACCTAAAAACCATAAATGACAATAGCAACCCATCAGACGTTTACAAGTCCATTAAAGGGACTTATATAAATCACGTAACAATGGAATGTATACCATATACTCGACTTAAGAATATTACAAAAATAGCGCAAGGTGGTTTTAGCAATATTTATCAGGCAACTTGGTTAAATAGTTTTAAAAACGATCACATAACCGTAGCTATTAAAAGTTTTTTCAATTCGCAAGACTTTAGCAAATATCTTTTGAATGAGGTTATTAACATTTATTTTTTGTTTAAAAAATTAAAAAAAAAAATTTCTTAAATAGACAACTTTAATATATTTTTTATTTTATAGATAAAATCATATCATTATTGTTATAAAGAACGTAGCAATATTCTACAATGCTATGGAGTTACAAAAAATCCTGATACAAATGAATATATGATAGTAATGCAATATGCAAAAGAAAATTTGCATGAATATTTACAAAAACATTTCGCAAATATTGAATGGTATAGAAAATTGAATATTCTTCAACAAATAACTTATGGGTATTTACATTTATATATTATTTATATTCTTTTTTTTTTAGTTAATTTTATATACTAATATATCACTTTTCTAATTTAAGTCTTAAGACCATTCACAATGTAAATTTTATACATCGAGATCTTCATAGTGGAAATATATTACTAATAGACCATGAATGCCAGATTGGAGATTTAGGATTATCACAACCTGCAAATAATCCATTAAATAATGACATATATGGAGTAGTACCTTATATTGCGCCGGAAATATTTCTTGATGCTTCATTTTCAAAAGCTTCTGATATTTATAGTTTAGGAATGATTATGTGGGAATCAACAACAGGATGCAAACCTTTTGCTAACGTTGAACATAATATAGATCTTATTATTGAAATTATTGATGGAAAACGACCTAAAATTACAAAAGATACACCTGAATGTTTTGCTAATTTAATGAAAAGATGTTGGGATTCTGATCCTTTAAAAAGACCATCTATAACTGACATTTGTAAATATATTAATGATTGGTGTTGTAAAAAAGAAAATGATAAATTTAATCAAGCTGAAGTAAAACGATTGGAATTAATAGAATTAAAGAAACTTGGTCCTGACTTTACTGAAAAATCTCACCAAAATTCAGTTTATGCAAGTAAAACATTAAATTCTTTAATTTCTTTATCTTTATCTATGAATTCAATTATAAATTCACGTAATATGAAAATGGGTAAGTTTATTATTATCTTCGAAAAAAATTAAATAAATTTTAAAACTAAAGTTATATTTTTTTTTTCAGAATATATCTCAAGAACATTTGAATTTGATATATAATTTTATGTCAAGGAAACGTAATATTGAAGTATTAAATGTTAAAGTGACAAATCAGAAAGTGTATGAAAATTGACAATTTGAGTGATTATGTGTACGTTTACTATTATGAAAAATCACATAATATCCTTTACATCTTTTTATATCATCACAAGTTTATTCCAATTATTGTGCTTTGCTTTTGCTTGTTTTTATTCTAATAACACATTTAAAACTTCATTATTATCGTTCTTAAAGTTGTTCGGTTTAACTCATTCTTGATGGGAGATTTTTGACCATGGGTTATTAGTCCAGAGCTTATCGAAGGACTATATCAGTCAACACATTTATTTCTTTTACCATGGTTTAATTTTATTTATCAGACTTTTTAAAATTATATTTTTGACATGGTATGCTTTACTAGCGGGGACACAATATGTCCGGCTTTATGTCCGGCTTTAAAATTGAGTCCGACATATGATTGTTACACTTTTGTTCTCCTGACGATTTTCCTAGTTATTATATATAGAAGAGTGAGAAGTCATTAACTCCATATTGGAACTCAATTGAATCTATAGGATATTATCATAAGGTAATTAAAGTTTTGAAAATAAAAATGTATATACAATACAATAATTAATATTCACTAATTTCTATATATATATTTATGAGAAAATTTATTTTTTTTTTGTTTTGATGCGGTCTTATCATCATGCTAATCGTTAATAAATTACCAATGATATAATACAAGAAAAATCATATTATGAAAATTAATGTTCTGATCCGGAAAATGATCGTAATTTCCAAATTTTAGTTTTTATTTTTATTTTAAGAGGAGGTTCCAATTGTTCTTGATGCTAATGTCCATATAGAGATGTTTTGTAAAATTGAGAAATTCACCTACTATTAATTTCAACCAGGATTAACTAAACTCGTGTCAAAGTCAGACAAATCCACTCATCTCGCGTTTTAACGTTCTAACATTTCAGATCATTTGATAAAAAAAAATGTCATTGAAAAGAGCGTCTACGATGTGTAAAATAAATATGAAGAATTACGAATTTGCACAAAATATTTAGAAAAGATATGGAAAAAGTAACGAAACTCAAACTTAAGTTACTTAATGTTACATGACATGACGATAATGAAATTCATAACCAGCGATTTTTTTTTATGCTATGATGATAGGCGAAATTTGTAAAGTTTAGTTATTTTTTTATCTTTACCTCTTGATTAGGCCAGGCAAAAAAATAATTTTAGATTCTTGTGCCCGGCCGCCTCAATTTTTACAAAAAATTCATGGATTTTTTTTTATAGTAAAATATTTATCACGTGACTTTATATAGTAGCATAAAAAATTTATATATAAAAAATAAAAACCGGGTGACCGTGTCAATTTTAAAACTTTATTCATGAGAATCTAAAAACATTTTTTTACCCGGCCTTATGGTACCGATTTTTTTGTTGCTGGTCAACACAATTTGGTTGTAGTCTTTAATTTTTTTTAAACAAAAATGCACATTTTCAAAGCTCAACTTGTTAAAGCGCAGAAATTTCTTACATTAAAAATTGTGAATTTTTTAAATAAATCTCTATTACCATATTGGGTGCATTCAAAAATTCACAGGATTGGGATTAACTGGATCGGAAATTTAAAATCCGAATCCATTGGATCGACTTAATCCAATCCGGATTGAGGTGTCGACTTAATCCAATCCAATTGAAATAAATAGCTAGAATCGAAGATTTTACATAGAAGTGAATATGTAAATTTCCAAATTGAATTAATAATAATAATTACATAAATACACATTATTTTTGCAACCATTTTTTTTAAATATTATCCTTTATTTTATTTTTATTTTAGAATCCACATCAATATCAATTTGGTAATATTGATATTTTTATGGATTGATGATTTTCTATTTAAAAATTTCAATAAAAATGATTAACAAATCATAAATATGGTAAGTATAAATTGGGCTCATTCATTAAAAATATCGATTGTGTTGATTACGTTAATAAAATACACAATATTGACCCGGAAAAATGAAAAAAGATCCAGATATACATACCTATATAAATATAGTAGTGCAATATCTTTATAAAATCTAATCAGCTTACTAGATTTCAAAAAATCAAAAAAAAATCTCAACCTATCTAATTCATGTACCAACCCATTATTATAGGATGCTTTCTCATATTAATACTTCACATTTTGAAGCATCTGCGTAACTTCGTAACTTAACATTGGTAATTTACCATGGAAGATGATTTGTTTTCGTGTCAGACCTTATTCTCTCTTTTTTTTTTTTTTAGAAAATGCTACCTCTCGTTCATTATAGGACAGTGTTCGGAAATGACCTGGTCATTTGACCATTTAAATGATTTGTCTATTCCTTTGTCATAATCATAAATCATTTAGCATTTGTCATTTCGCAAATGATCTAAATGACAAATGATAAATGATCAAGATCATTTAAGATCATTTAAATCATTTGTCATTTAGTCATTTGCTTTTACAAAAAATTTAGCGATACTCTTAAAGAATCGCAAATTCTTAGCGAGTTTCACAATTTTATCTCCCAACGATAAAGAATCGTTACCAAGGATGATAGAAGGATCGTTCCAGTAGAACGATAGAGGAATCGTTCTAAAGGAACGATTAAAAGCATCGTTTTTCAAGAATGATAAAGATTGTTCTAAAAGAACAATACAAAAAAATCGTTCCTTAAGAACGATACTACATTGTTCTATCGGAACGATGAAAAAAATCATTCCTTATGAACGATAAAAGATCGTTCTAAAGGAACAATACAAAAAAATCATTCTAATAGAATGATAAATCATCGTTCTATCAGAACGATAAAAAAAAATCGTTCTAATAGAATGATAAATCATCGTTCTATCAGAACGATAAAAAAAATCGTTTCTTAAGAATGATAAAAGGTCATTCTATCAGAACGATAAAAAATCATTTAAATAGAATAATAATACATCGTTTTAAAGGAACGATACAAAAAATCATTCCAATAGGACGATAAAGATTGTTTAAAAGGAACGATACAAAAAAATCATTCAAAAGAATGATAAATTATCGTTCTATCGAAATGATAAAAAAATCATTCCTTAAGAATGATAAAAGGTCATTCTATCAGAACGATAAAAAAATCGTTCCAATAGGGCGATACTACATTGTTCTAAAGGAACGATACAAAAAAATCATTCCTTAAGAACGATAAAAGGTAGTTCTATCAGAACGATAAAAAAATCGTTCCAATAGGGTGATACTACATTGTTCTGAAGGAACGATACAAAAAATCATTCTAATATGACAATAAAGATCATTCTATCGGAATGATATAAAAAAATTGTTCCTTAAGAATGATACTACATCGTTCTATTGGAACGATAAAAAAAAATCATTCTATCTGAATGATACTTTTAATCATTCCTCTAGAATGATTCTTCTATCGTTATATCAGAACGATGCTTTAATCATTCCTTTAGAACGATTCTTCTATCATTCTATCAGAACGATGCTTTTAATCATTCCTTTAGAATGATTCTTTTATCATTCTATCAGAATGATGCTTTTAATCGTTCTTTTAGAATGATTCTTCTATTGTTCTATCAGAATGATACTTTTAATTGTTCTTTTAAACGAAACTAAATAATTGTTCAATTTTTAGCTCGAATTTAGCATTTGACTTAACTTATCTGACTCATAATTTGAGTCGACTCGTTCTAAACTCGAATATAATTTAATATACTATTATATACTATATAAAATATTTGCCTAATATGAAATAATTTTTTATAATTAAATATTTTAATAAATTTAACTTATTTACACTATAATAAACAAAATAAATAATAAAAATTTATAAAATTTGCTATATTTAAAAATTATTGAAATGACTGATCATTTGTCTTTTGTCATTTGAGTCATTTGCCAGTCATAATCATTTGGCGAACATCGAAATATTTACCAAAATGTCTTAATATTAAAATAATATTAAATTATATGTGATATAATGAATAACTATTGATTTTTATAACTCAAGTCAAATTTTTGCTAAATCATATAGTTATAGGCAGGGTTAGAAAGTAGAGTATTAGTATAATGATTAGTATAGTTAGTATAGTTAGTATATTATAATAATTAATATAAAAATTAGTATAAGTATAATACAAATACAGTGGTAATTCATACAAAATTTCCAATCCTAGTTATTTGGGTAATAATTAATTATAAAGGATGTAATTAATTACAAGAAAATATAATTAACTATAAAAGGTAATTTTCTTTTATAGAATTTAAATTATATAAAAATATTTTTTAATATAAATGTATAAATATATCTCCATAATATTGTTAACATCATATATAGTTTTATTTGCATATCTGAAATCTATACTGATTATATAGATATATATGATAACTTTTTGCAAAAAAACATATTTAAGTCAAATTTGATTACAAAAATCTTATTTGATATTCTAAATAAACTTAAACTTTATTTGAATTTTAAAAATTATATATCTAGTTATATTGAGCTCACTCTTTAAGATATATTTTAAAAAGAAAAAATTTTCATAGAAATTATCTATAATGTATATGCTGATTGATTTATTGATCATTTTTAAAAATATATTTTAAAGCATAATATATTTAAGATAATCTGATATAGATTTCAGATATGCATTTTAATTTAAGTATTAATTTGCTTTGTATAACATTTATACGTTGCAAAATTTTTTTTTATGATATTCATTATATAATATGTGATTATATATGATATTACATTAAATTTAATTTATTTAAATATTAAAATAAGTATTTTAAATATTTTATTATTAATAAATATTATGTATTTTATGATTCTCTACATTTTTAATTAATATATAATATATTAATTAAGCTAATTATATTATTATTTTAAAATATTGTAATAATTAATTAGAATTCATAATACTAAGTAAAGTTGTAGTTTTGGTATATTTCTATAATATTATTTAGTATTATAAATTAATATTATATATTTAAATTTTGTATTAAATTAAATATTGTAAATTTTGCTTATTCTGATAAATTATAAATCACGTGATAACTTAATTACATATTTATGTTTTGTATTATGTCTTTCAAATTTTATACTATATGTATAGTTATAATCTAAGAAAATCAAGTTCTCAAAAATTTTTGATTAAAATTAATAGATTATTACATTTTTAATCTAAATATAATAAAAATTAAAATGCAATTAAATTTTAATTATGATAAAAAATTCTCAAAACCTAATCTTTTTAGATCATAACCCATATAATCAAATTGGTTAAATATTTATTAAAAAGATATTAGTACTAAAAGAAATAATTTCAATTAGTGTAATTAGTGTATATTTTATATAAGCCAATTAAAAATAAAGTTTTAAAGTGGATTTTTTTAATTATTCTTTTATTATTCTTATTTTTTTTAAAAAAATAATATTTAATAATTATGTAAAAATAATAAAATTATAAAATTAAATAAAATTACAAAATTAAATAAAATTTAAATAAATATAAATTTGTTATTATTAGTTCTGAATTATAATAGTTTATAAATTGAATGTAAATAACTGATTAATAACTAATTGATTATTATAATTGACTCCAATTTTGTCAATTAGAATTAATATGAATCAGCTATAAATTTTCTAATAATTATTTATTAATCATTTAACTGATTTTTAACTGATTTGGATCAATTTTGATTATTTTTTAATAGATTATTACTGTTTTCTTTATTTTTTTTTTTAAATTTTCTTTAGGAATATACTAAAATAAGTAAAATAAGCTAATTAGAGAAATATTTTTAATATTTTTTAATTATTTTCTTTATTTTTCTTAACTGTTTTTTATATTTTTTTTATTTTCTTTAGAAATACATTAAAATAAGTAAATTAAAGGGGGGTTTTCTTTACTTTTTAATATTTTAAAAAAATTTAACTGTATTCTTTTCTTAAATAAAATAAATATTGCAATATAATTCTTATGAATAATTTAATTATGTAATAATACAATAAAATTATAAATTTAATAAATGATAAATAGCTAAAAATTAGTTTTATTAGCTTCAATAATTTTAAATAGTTGTTTTATTGATTTAGCTGTTTTTAAATTGATTTATAACTGATTTTAAACTAATTTAAGTTAATTTTATAATAATTTTAAGCTAATTTTAATATTAAGTGCTGATTGATAGCTGATTTTTTAATTTTTAAATGATTATAAATCACGATAATTTGTTATCAAATGATAGTTGTATTGATCAACTTTAACTAGAAGCAAAATGATATATTTTTTAGTAATAATTGATAGAAATCAGATTATATTTAGCTAATTTTTAGCAATTTGAAAATATAAAGAAATAGATATTCTTACTAATATATAAAAAATTATTAAAAAACATAATTTTGTATTCAAAATATTTAATTAAAAAAAATAAATATTTTCTAAGGAATTTTTTTTTTTAAAATAGCTTTTTAATTTTTATTTATTTGAAATTTCTTATTAAATTACTTTTAAAATTCTTTATGATTTCTAATTATATCACAATTAAGGATGCTTATCAAAATTCATTTTAAATGTCTAAACTTTTAGTTTCACTAAATTTTACCAAGTATTTGATAAAGTTTCACTATTTTTAATAAACTTTAATATAGTTTACATTTTTTCTGAATTTTTAATAAGATTTTAATATAATTTAATCAAGATCTATATTAACTTTTTAGATATCTGATTAGATTCTAGATTTTATCTTTTTATCTAACAACTTTTATTACAATAAAAAAGAAATTTTTTTCTTATAATTATATATATAATCTAAATTAATTTATTAATGTCAAAAGTTAAATATATAAAAAATTACTATTTTTAACTTTTATATTTACTATAATTATTTTTATAATTTAAAATAATTTAAACTAATTATAATTATTTATTATATATTAATAATAATAATATGTCAAAATACTTTAAATTGTATATGTGTTGTTATATATGAAAATTAGATTTTAATCATATGAAATCTTTATAATAGAAAGGAGAGAAACTACCGGAAAATTCAAAAATGAGTTAATGCTAAATTTGAACATATTTCAGCTTAAAAATCATATTTGATATATAAAGTAAAATTGATTTTTTCTGGCAGTTTTCCCCTTTCTATTGCAAAGACTCCATATGATTTATATAATTATATAATATAATTTTTGTATGTATTAACCCATATATATTTGCAATAATTTAATAATTATAAAAATAAACTATTGAAAAATATTGATACTTTTAATTTTATTTT